TGTCCATATAATGTATCATGTCTTTTATTGTACTGGGCAGTACGGTCAGCATTGTGCACATAATCACGAAACAAACCACAAGAGTGTAAAAAAGGGGTATGAGTGCACAATTCAAAAATAACACCCCAACATGCTCTAGGCAGAGGGATAAGAAAAGTTAGTCAATCCAAATACTGGTAGAAGTTTCAAGTTGTTTTATGATACAGATTTTAAAAAATTGTGGTTGCGGGTGTGGAATGAAAAAGTACACATTGGGTGTCTCAAAAAAAAACCTCTGATCACTATTCGACGCTACAGACCTCCTACAGTCCCTGTACCCTGAAATTGTGCGCCGCGTATCAGCTGTCTACTTGTCATCGGGTGCCTGTCTGCCTCCTTTCCGAGAGATGATCATGTACTCTTGCATTTTAAAATTGGAGTATTAAATATGCAGTTTGCATTTTCACATTCTCGTGGATTGTGGCCAACTGAGAGTTTGCGGCTCACGCTGAATATCTTGGAATTAGTCAATGTGTATAATTGCCATCACGCTGAGTTCTCACCCAGTAGATTCTGTTTGAAATATATGTTATTTTTTTTTTTTTTTCCTGTTCACGCATGCGATAATTTCTATCCCCCCTCCCCCTCTCCGCAGACCATTCAATGTTATTAGCGCTGCCAGACGACATATTAAACCATCATCTTTTTTCCAGATAGGCCTGAGCCAATACGCCGGGTAAATGGCTGAACTTATAATACAGTTGTTTCTAAACACAACACGTGAAGGATTGACGATCCAAACTGCTCAGAGACTACGGAAATACAGGGCAGGATTGACTAAAATATGCCAGTTTTACGCCAACTTCCCCAACCTGTGTAGGATTCACTGAAAAAAATGCAGAGTTAAATGATGCCTTTTATTGGACTGGAGCAAATCGCAGCTGCAAATTTTGAGAGGGCTCAAGCCTCTTCTTCAGTCAGGGTGCGCGACCACCTGGGCTGTCTCAAAGACTTGGAATGATAATTTACTTAGTAAGAGCCATACAATGCCCTCATACTTTGCTTCAAAGACTCCAGCCAGGTAGGACATACTCCAGCATTCAGTGAGTTGGGTGTCTGGGTGAAATATTGTGTAAGTAGACATAGACGGTAAGGTAGATAAAGTGGATAGATGCCATCCACACACATAGCTTATAATTGTGGCCTTGACAATTGGATAAGAAAGACAATTGGGCAAGAGAGGACATGGAACCTTTGACCTAGGAGGCAAACACAACCAACCAGCCTTTCCATGGTAGGGACAGAATTGTGAAGAATGTGTATCACTCAAAGTGTGCCATGGTGCTGCAGTGATTGGTGGACATGGTGAAAATATGGTGAGAACAAAAAAAATATGGTTTGATGTGACATACCTTCTCACATCTTCCAGAACCAGCTTCTTTTGCAGCTCTTGCCATTTGGTCACATGACATCTCAGAGCCACAATAAAGTTGGTGCTGGAAAACTTTGGCCTGCTAGATGCTGTAGTTGCAGGTCTGAACAGGGTGCAGGTAGTTATCCATTGGCCAGCAGCTCTGGAGAATGTCTGAAAGGTGAAGTTTCTCCAATTTGGGGCCACCTGCCCAATAGACATTGTTAGTATCAGCACAGGGGAAGCTTCCTCCTGTACCCCAGCCCAGTTTAACCATATCAATGATATTCCGCAGATGGAGGAACTTCTTGCCTCCGATACTGGCACCTCTGCTCGTTTTCTGGTCCAGTGGAACCTATAGCGGCATTTGTCACCTTCCAATACTCTAAGTACGTTTTTGTGACCTACTCCCCTCTGGATTTGTTTTAAAAATCTTATTTTTCTCTTATAGATTATGATCTCCCAGGGTCAGTCTTCCTTACCTACCCTCTTACTTTACTTTCCTCTTCTCTTTCTTTTTTGTCGTTCCTATCTTTCTCATCTTTTGACTCTTTCTCGCTCTTTATTCTCTCTTTTCCTCCTTACACAAACAATATATAATAGTCAGTCCCAGTGCTATGGCAATGACAACTTGTTTTTGGTTCACCTCCATATACATACCTCTTTATTTTTGAGCGTTGTATTTCACAGTATTGGTCCTAAAGTGAGAATTATTTTCCCTTGAATCTACCAAGTTGATTTGCTGCTAATTGATTTACTGCAACTTGTTTACTGTAATCTATTACAATGTCTTGGTCTTACATTGGACTGGATATAGTGTAAGAAGCACTGTAATGGATACCATTGGGGTACTGGAGGACAAGTCCACCTTGTGAGTTGAAAATTTTTGACTGGCTTCTTGTCTTCTTGCAGTTCTTGACTGCTTACATGTGGAACACGACCGAAATAGATATAGAGACCAAACAGAAGCTCTTACCTTTCCCAGCTCTGAAACTAGACCTAAAATGTGCATCAAATGAAAAAAAAAAGACCTTTAGTCTAATGAATGGCCTAAATTCTGGGCGGTGATATTTACTAAATTACTCCACAGTCTAGAATTGAGATACTTCCCCATGACCAGGACCCTAACTAGAGTCTTACAGTCAACTTCTGGGTTTGCTGCTACCTCTGCAGATATGTTATTCCTTCAATGGGGGCTTATTTGGGAACAAAAATATTTGAGGCTTTTTAGAATCACAACTTTTTGTTTAATAATAATATAAATTTGGTACCAACTTATAGTTTCTCCTACAATTCTGTACCCTTATACCTCTCGTCATCCGCATGAGATTAGTTGGTTTGAAGATAGTTCTATAATACTATGTTCTCTGTAAAAAGAGGAACGGTTATGTAACTAAATCACCTGTATTATCATGTTATGTTTTGTATAATGATTTGAATTGTGTTTTTTTTGTTATGTAATTCTGAATTTGTTTTTCCTTTTATGTTTTTTTTCTTTTGGTATTTTGTATGGGGTAAAACATCTATAAAATAAAAAAATATCTGATTTAAAAAAAACAAAATAACTAAAAAAACGCATAGCTTCTCAGCGATAAAAAGATTGAGGGGTCTATTCACTAAGCTGCCGTAGGCAGCCGAGTGAATGGCCGACCTAAAGCGAAGTGAGCCGAACGCTATTCACTTCAGGCTGGTACGGCTGATTTCAGCCGTATATCGTGTGGCTTCGGGTCGGCCGAACATGCTCAGCATGTTCGGCCGACCCAAAGTGCAGAAGGAGTTCGACTCAGCCGATCCAACATCTGGATCGGCTAAGCCGAACCTCCGGCAGGCTACTCGCTGCTGTTCGGTCTATTCTTATAGATGCCGAACAGCAGTGAGTGAATAGCCGAATGGCGGTGAACGGCATTCGGCTCGGCTGTTCTGCTCGGTCCCTCAGAGGTACCGAGCAGATCAGAAAAATAGTTTAAAAAGTAGAAAAAAATAAATAGAAAACGATTGTGCGGAGCGAGCAGTGACAGCTAGCTCCGCCCAACTGTTTTCTATTGGCCGGTGGTTCTGCTGCCGTCAAAAAAAAGAAGAAAAAAAAACTCTCCCAGGCGCTCCGGGAGTCTCCCGCTCCCGGCCGCCAAGGAGAGAAACACTGATTTTTCATTTTTTTTCTTTATTCTGACACGGAGCCGTGTCAGAATAGAAAAAAAATAAAATAATTGTTGGCCATAGGAATGCATTGCTAGATTCCTATTGGTTATTTCAATTTGCAATAGCCAATAGCAAACCAGCTATTGTACCCGCCCTCTGCTGCTGTCAATCAGTAGTGGTGGACCTGATGGAGCACTGCAGCAGAGGGTGGGTGCAATGCTAGTTTGCTATTGCAAATTGAAATAGCCAATAGGAATCTAGCAATGCATTGCTATGGCCTGCCGCTCGGCCAGCTTCAGAGGTTTTTCAGAATTGCTGGGATTTGTACATCTTTGTTATAATGTATGATTTTTTAAAATAAATATATATTACCAGTTTTGCGAGTAATGATACTGATAAGTCACCACAGATACGAGTACTGATACATTTTTGTTTATTATCATGTGACAGTTTTTCTAAAACAATACAGACTAATGATTCCAGGAAAGTGGTGGAGTGCCAGAGCCAGGTCCCAGCTGCAACTGCTGCAACCCTGGTAGTTCTCATGAAAATGCCAAGTATCGGCACTGGTATCTGAACTGGTATCTGGACATCCCTAGAAGAAACCTTTCTATTTGTCCGTGGTGACCATTGTCACTGCAAGTGAGGGAAAACCAAAAATCTTAGGTTGCCTCCAGAATAGGGATAGAGAGGAAGCCTTCCAATCTCTGACACATGTTCCGGTGACAATATTTTTAGAAGGCAGCTTAAAGGGATTTCTTCTGAGTTTCTGTTACATCTATAGGAAAGGAAGTGAAATCTTCCCAATGGAACTCAAATGGCAATAAAAAAAAACTAGCAAGGCTTTAAACCTTTTTCTACTCTGTCCCCAAAAAAATCCAGATCAGCCAATCTCAACCAGGGTTCAGCTGAACTCATGGGTTCTTCTAAGGTTTTAGTAGTTACTTGAACCAATACGAGATCAATGGCCAACTGATCTCCTACCTACACTGACCACCAATTTGAAGGCCATTTCTATGCTGACCACTAGCGTTAGGGGTCACCACAATTTTTACTGTCTGCATTTCTTTTCTGTTATTACTATTTATTTAATTTCAAGAATACTAGTAATAATATCTGTAAAAAATAAGTCAAAGCAACTGGACTTGCTGTATTTTTCTTGAAGACGCTTCACTGGTCATCCAACCAGCTTTCTCAATATATCTGTCCATTAGAACTGAATATACTATGTATGGCAAGTTATTTATTTTAATACATAAAATGTTCTTCAATTTAGTGATCACACTAATGCACCATGAACTTTAGGTATAATTATTTTTAGCGGGGGGGGGTCTCCAAGACCTGAAAAATATTTCAAGGGTTCCTTTGGAGTAAAAAATTGAGAAAGGCTCCTTTAGATATGCTTTTAAAGTATAAGTAACTCACACTAAATAAAATTACACATGCTAAGTTCTTTATTTTATTTTGGCAGGTGAAGGTCTGGTTCCAGAACAGAAGAACCAAGTACAAGAGACAGAAGCTGGAGGAGGAAGGACCAGACTCCGATCAAAAGAAGAAAGGGTCTCACCACATCAACAGATGGAGAATGGCCACCAAGCAACCCAATGGGGAAGACATTGATGTCACATCCAATGACTAAGTGGGTGGATTCTTCGTACCCCAAACCAACCACAGACTTTCACTACATTGCAGCTGGAAGAAAACAAAAAAAAAACTGACTGAACGGGAATGACCTGGAACAAATAATATGGATTCTCACCACAAAGGTGTTGAGACGCGGTCCCGAGGTAGACCAGTGTTATGGAGGAAGTCATGCACTTGTCACACAAAATGGGGGCCAGGCCAAGCTGATATCACTATGGACTTTTATCAGCTGCCAAACGACCCGATATTGACAATATGGTTGTGAAACAAACAAAAAAAAAAGAAATCTCTTTTTTTTCAGCCCTCTTTATTTCTTCCCTTAATTTTTTTTAATTTATTTTCTTTATCTGATAAAAAGTAGTTATTACCAACTTAGTGTGTAAATGTGTGTTAATAAAAAATAATATTGAAAACAGACAGAGTGGGCATTCCTGTAGTCATGTGAAGGGGGGAAAAAATGCAAAGCAAACCTGAATCCACCACACCATGGTAGAAGGTTTGGGCCAAACATCAACCACGTCATACCTTTAGGCCAAAAATGATGCACAACAAAGGTCATTCATACACTTAAAGTAAATATAAACCTTAACTATGACAATCTAGTTTGCTAAAGCACTGTGTACCATAAATAATTGCCTTTTTCTAATAAAATACTTGTTTTTCACTTTTTTTTCCAATCATTTCTTGCATGTCCGCAGTGCTGATCTCCTGCAGATAGTTCCTGTCTACATGCACTCCAGTGGTGGCTGCACATCATTTCCCAGGGAGGATTTCCTAATGGTAACAGGAGTACAACATGCATGTGCAATGTGTTTCAGCATGGCCAATGGTAGTCTCCACTGGGAGAGTGTGTGACAGGGTGACAATTATTATTATTATACAGGATTTATATAGCGCCAACAGTTTGCATAGCGCTTCACAACATATGGAGAGAAAGTACAATTACAATACATCACCATACAAAAGGATTAGAAGGACCCTGCTCTTGAGAACTTACAATCTAGAAGGGGTAAGTGATACAGAAGATACATTGGGAGACAGGGACAGAGCATTGGGTACCCCTAAATGAGGTTGTAGCTTAACAAGAATTTTCACACCAAGGATTATTTCAATGAAAAAGGCCATTTTCAAAAATATTGATAAATTATTATTATTATTATTATTATTACACAGGATTTATATAGCGCCAATAGTTTGCGCAGCGCTTTACAATATAAGGAAGACATTACAGTCACAATACAATTCAAGACAAGATGGTAAGGAGGGCCCTGCCCCTGTGGGCTTACAATCTAAAAGAGAGG